GATCAACCACCCCCGTACCTTCCAACCCAACTGGCTGCTTCAAAAGGAGCTAACCCCATGACGCATTTTCGGATTCGATTCCAACATTTGTTGGGGTGACAGCCTAATACGTTTACCTACTGGGCTAGCTCCTGTTGCACATTAAGCAAGAGAAGAAGTTCATTATGAAGAGTTGTACCTAGCAGGCATCCGGCATCCTTCACCCTGTTGGCCGCCTATCCTCAAATCAAACACATGTCGAGCCTGATAGGATGGGATACTAGACCTCCACCACTTAATCGCGAGGTCAACCCCTCTCGAGGATAGCTTTAAACCACTAGTACCTTGTCGATTCAAAAAATAGTGGGTCTCCGACCATTCAGGAGTCCAAAACGAAACGACGACTATCAATCAGATTTATCAACAGCATCCGTTGTCAAACCCCGCCTCCTAAAAGTTTGGGACTAGGCTAAAACTTGTTGAAACTGGACAGCGAAGGTATTAATGGTTTGGTATAAAAACCAATTCCTATGCTTTCTAACCCATGGCCGCGGATGCAACACGACCATTTTTTTTTGGTCATTTGGTCCCAGAATCGCATGACTGTAAAGCCGCGCGTTTCAATTTTGGGTAAGATGAGATAAAATAAAGATTCTGACGGCCGCGCCTCGCCGCAGCATCGCGAGGTACGACAAGTGATTAGTTATAGCGCCAATCCTTTTCAAAATTCCCAACGTTGCGGCATCCGATTTAGGCTAAAAAACTGTTGGTGCCTTGGACATAGGGTCGGTCCGAATTAGCTTTAGCAGGTACTCCAATCTCATCAAGTCAGATCATTCAATCGAACTCCCATCAAGGTTTCTACTTTGACAACACCTGCCACTTGGTCACTCCAACACTACCTCGGCAATATCTGTCGACGATGATAATTGCTATTATAATTAGTAAAACTTTGGACCTTTTCTCGCTCTAAATGTGTCATTCTTGTGCAGGGGCCATTTCTAATTCCGCGTGGCGAACTTCAGCCACACTATCGTGACGATTTGCGCCCGAAATTCATCCGCACAAAGTTACTTCAACCATCGAGCAACTACTCAAAAGGAGCTAGCCCAATCTGGGCAGTTAAAGATTTGATCCCGGTATCCCCGGGGTAAGAGTCACACACGTCAACGTACAGGGCTAGCTTCTTTTTCACACCAAACAGGAGCTGCCCTCAGTAGGTGCCCAGCCCATGGCCTACCAGGCTATGCCTGCCTTCGCTACTCAACCAGTTGGCCGATGACCCCCGAATTGACGCGTATCCTACCTCACAAGGCAGGATGCAAACCCTCTGCCGCTTAGGCACGACTTAGTCCCGCAGCACTGGTGACATCGGGGTACAAGGAAAATTTCGATGATCACATCCTCTACACCGTGCCCACACATGCGACACAGACCCTTATCTTAGTCGTTTAAACCCCGAGTCATTGTCTCAATTTTAAATAGAATAAACGGCCGCATGCCTTTGCGACCTCGCCAAACGCGGAAAAATTGGTCGGTCCTACCGCTGACCTTCACTATCACTTGCACACGTCGCCGACGTTCAAACTTAGGTAGGAAGAACATTTTTGCGTTTCGATTGTAGGTCTGGTCTGAATAGTCCTTGGCAAGTACCCCAATCTCATCAAGTCAAATTATTCAAACAATATCTTTTCGATAGTCAGACAGTGCCCGACATTGAAAATCCCGAGCACCTACCCTTGTAAGGGTTTCTGCTCCGACACCGTCAACGACAACGACGTGTTACGTTGAAAGCCAATTCCACACTGCACTCGTTTTGCTTGGGGGCCTCTATGGAAAAGGGTGATGCAACCTGTGGAGTTTCCTCCAGCAAACGCCTTTTTGAAACTAAATTGTTCGAGTGGTTTTGTCATAAAACACGGTCTCAGTACATTCTTTTTCTTTCCTTTTTTTGTTTTCCTCACTACATTCATGATGAGTTGTGTTTTTTGTACTTTTTTCTTGCGTCTTTTTTTGGGGGGGGAGTACATTAACAGCTCGCTCAAGCTTACAAATGCAACAATTACTAGCATAAAAAAATGTTCCCGCTCTGGTCTTGTTGCATATTCTACATTTTCTAGCATATGAATGCAGGAATGTGTCGATGCCCAAGTGCATGCTCTGCACATGGACATGCAGAGGCCCAGGTACATTCCAACCAAGCTACTTTGCCCTGGCTTCTTTACTCCCTTTTTTCTTTTTTTGTTTCGCGCCATTGGTGCACTGCACACACACAAGGACAACAGGACAACCATTTCTCAGTTTATGCACGTCATCCTTGCGCAGTGGCCATGCTAATCTTCTTCCTCTGTATCATTCCAATTTTAACGGATGTCCTGAAGGACTACAACAGGGCAACCGATTGAAAGACAAAAAGGGTTCACAGGGTCTCGAGACAATTCCTCTTCTGCCGTGCACATTTCGCCCACTTCGCCACATGTGACCTTGTGCCTTCCCCCCCCCCCAAATCTCTCTCTCTCTCTCCTCTCTCTCTCTCTCTCTCTCTCTCTCTCTCTCTCTCTCTCTCTCTCTCTCTCTCTCTCTCTCTCTTTGGTCTATCTGTCATTTCAGGAGTGTCGGTTTCGTGAACACCAGTGTTAACAATCATCGACACATTGCACAGAATGGTAGCAAACACGTTTGACATACGCGAGTTACCCGCCGTAATGGAATTATATTGTAAGGAACTCAAACTGTTGGAATACCTGTGGAAGACAACACGTTCGACGATTTTGGTCTTTCCCAGAAATCGTAAAGACAACACGATGTGTAAGGTCTTCCTCAAAAGTTTCCAAAAACGGAAGACATAAAATTTTGGCAAAATAAAAAGTACTTAGCAAGCAGACAAAAATGAATAAAAATATAAAACCACCTTGAATTTCTGCTGAAAGATAAATCAACATGATGACCTTCTGCCGAACAATATTCCTCAAAGAACCAAGAACCGAGATACCCAAGAATCACGCATATAAAATCATACGCAAAAACAGGAAATATAACCACATAGCAGTCAGACCAAAGAAAGCAAGTAAAATACTATGTGAGTCACGGAACCATACCGACCAAATACCAAGAATTTAATCGTTTTTCATCAAATAAACTCTCATGATATTCCATCGACGGATTTAAAACGACTCGTTACGCCAAAATTCTCGAACACACAAGACTACAAAAAGGCATACGAAATTTGATACAAGGACAAATTCCCAAAAATCTAAGTTACAGACACAACACGGTCTCGAAAGACAGATGGAGAAGTACAAGGTAAGGAAGGAAACCGGAAACATCACCTTGATGCTTCATCGGATATACGGACGCAGACCTTTGTCAGCGCAGAGAATTTTTGGACATATCGCGCCCAAGGGAACATCGGGACAGTACGAGTGATCAACGGTGACCAGCATACGATGATATGAGGAGATTGCAGGGACTAGGGTTCAGCCGGACAGAGAAGTATTTGGACCGAGGGTATATATACAGTTGATAGTGGCTGAAATGATTACCTGAACAGAGAGGTAGAAGGGTTATCGCGACAGTATCTGTTGCATGCCATGGACAGGACGCGTATTCTGTGAAATTAAAGCCTCGCACGTATTGTCCAATATTGCGAGTCTCTCTCTCTCTCTCTCTCTCTCTCTCTCTCTCTCTCTCTCTCTCTCTCTCTC